GGGGGGCGCGGGGGTGCCGCTTCCTTGCCGCCGCGGGCCGAGTAGCCCGCCAGCCGCTTGGCAAGGCCGAGCGGCCTCTGAAAGAGGAAAAGATGCAGGCGCGCACCGGAGAAGCTCGGGAGTCTAATAAATGTAGCATGCATTAGGGGATCCGAAGCAAGGTCGGATCAGCAGGTTCCTCCTCACCTCAAATTACTTTAAGGAGGGGAAGTCGCCCCTACTTCGGCCCTGGAGGAAGGTTTGGAGCCTGGCCTACAAAAGCTTACGTTGCTGCCACAACGCGGCTCCATTGTTTGCGAGGTTTATCTCTCATCTTTCCTAGGGGAGCGCGAGGCTGCGTACATCAGCCTTCCCGCTCCCATTTTTCTTCACAGCAACCTTGCCTGTTGAGCATGGCTGTTCCAGAGTCACCCAGTGAGTTTTCATGGCCGAGGATCGATTTGAACTGGCTACCTACACACTGGTTCTGTAAATCCTCATTCTAAAATCCCCTCAAGTTCATTGTTAATGATTGAGAGATTTCAGCTTAATTCAGTTTGTCTTAAAGATGCCACTAAGTAACATTCTTGCTTGAGACAACCTGCAAACACAAGTTTGCTGGCTACAGAAGCATAAGCAGGATTAGCCATTGCAGGAAAAACAATACGCTTATAATTATGTTGCAAAACACCTCGGAAATTAAGATTAAGAGGCAAGGGTGCACAAATTTTATACAGGATTGGGGAATCTGTGACCTCCTACTCTTACTTTGGCCCTGGCCTTGTTGCATGGGGCTTCTGGAAGTTGTAGGCCAGGAACAACTAGAGGGCCACCTGTTTTCCATCCCTCTCTTATAGAAAACAAATGTAAATAAAGAGACTGTAAAGCAGTCAGAAAGGTCTTCAAGTGCCTTCTATAGTACTGTATTTCTCTGCATCTGTCCTCAGAAGGAAGCCTTTCTGTGCTAAACTCACACTGCGTTTACATTATAGCCGCCTTCTGGAAATTCTGGACAATGATTATGATACAGAACTTACTTTTTTTTTTCATCTTTGTGTGTGTGTGTGTGTGTGAGAGAGAGAATGATGTAATTTTTGTGAAAAGGATTGTCAGATATTGTGGCCATAACTGGCAACGGAAATTCTGGACAATGATTATGATACAGAACTTACTTTTTTTTTTCATCTTTGTGTGTGTGTGTGTGTGTGAGAGAGAGAATGATGTAATTTTTGTGAAAAGGATTGTCAGATATTGTGGCCATAACTGGCAACGGAAATTCTGGACAATGATTATGATACAGAACTTACTTTTTTTTTTCATCTTTGTGTGTGTGTGTGTGTGTGAGAGAGAGAATGATGTAATTTTTGTGAAAAGGATTGTCAGATATTGTGGCCATAACTGGCAACAGATTCAGACTTGATGAAATATGTGTTAAGCTACCCAGGATGTGTTTTTCATTGGAACTGATTATTAAACCATTTTTCTCCCAGCTAAGGATAATGTGAGCCAGTTTGGTGTAGTGGTTAAGGCACCAGACTAGAAACTGGGAGACCCAAGAGTTCTAGTACCGCAGGCACTAAGCCAGCTGGGTGACCTTGGACCAGCCACTTTCTCTCAGTCTTAAGAGAAAGGCAGCGACAAACCACTTTTGAAATCTTGCCAAGCAAACTGCAGGGACTTGTCCAGGCAGTTGCCAGGAGTCAACCCTGTCTCAAAGGCACACATACAGGCACGCACACACAGACATGATAATATACTCTGAGTAACTATGAAGGAAACAAAAGGTCAATTTGTGAGTAGGCTGATGCTATAAATCAAGGATCAGTAGTTGATGCTTGCAATGTCCCAGAAATCTTTTGCATCATCTTATGGTACCTGAACAGCTCCAAATTAAAATAATATTCTTAAAAATTAAAAATTCCTCTTAACTTTATGAGTGTCAAATTCTGAAGAGAGCTTACCAAATAATATTTTTGTTTGTGATGGCTGGATTGAAATTGTAGGAACTTTTGGTTGATTTGGGGAGCAAAGGCTCTCCAAAAGTTGTGAACCAAATTGAAAATAATTAATGTAACAGAAGTAGGTAGTTATTAAATACCTTGAGAGTAATATTGATTTTGAATTTAATTGTGTATTATTGTTATTGTGGTTTCTGTCCTGCTCCCATCCACTTTTGATGTTGGTCCTGCTTATTTTTTGGGGATGTGATCCCTGGGATCACTCAAGGGCCAAGTGCAGACTTTGGTCTGAAAAAAAATGGGCATCCATGGTTTAGTGTAAGGATCAAACGGAATGTGGCTTCCAATTCTGGCAAGTTGGTACATGAACAAATCAGAGTCTTGGTATGACATGTATAATATGTATAACATTGGGCTAGTTGTACTAAGCCACTATTACTTTTAAACATGATTGTTGAACAAGTTGTGAACAATGATTTAGAAACCACAATGATGAGTTCACATAGTGTGCTAAATCAAAATTGAACATACTGTGGTTTAGTGTGGTGTGAAAATCCAATCCTTTTTTTAAGAAAAGAAAATTGAGCTGCAGGTTTCACTGGGAGAAATCAGCTATGTAATCCTTTCTCATTAAGGGCTTTCCCCTGTAAAACTGCCCTTTCCTTACTGTTTTCCTTCTTGCAGATGAAAATAATGCCCTGAACATAATATAGAACCAAGTAGTTATTATTCTACCACTCAGAGTAATTCAGCAGTTTTGTGGAGATGTTGAGAAAAAAGACGTGTGTTTGGTGAAACCACCTAATGAAATTAACATTGATGAACTTTGCTCCAGCTGTAGATGTGGTGAAAGACATCCTTGCACAATCTTAGCACATGACCTGCTTGGGCAGTGAGATTTTCACAGTCTGACTGCAGAATTTCTTTTCCAAATTCTCCCTGCCTCTATGTTAAAAATTCAATTCTGATGACAAATAATTGCACGAAAGACCAGTATATTACAGGACAAGTTTGAGGGTTTTGTATGTATATAATAGCCCCTGTATGAATATTTTTATAACACTATGCCTCATTTCTGTTACATATATGTCTGTGTGTAAACTGAAATTAGGAAAGAGTATGCTAATAAGGAAGCAATATTTGCTAAATGCAGTTGCTATCCGATCAGATAACAGAATTTAACAACCAGAGTTTGTTTAAAGAAGATTTCCCTACAGATATCTGAGAAATATTAAGTTGGGGAAAACCAGATAATTGAGAAATGCTAAAATGGTTATGGGGGAAAACAAATTGTTTCCTAATCTCCTGATAACAAATAGTTTGAGTCCCCCAGAGCCTTCTCAGGAAATGTTTTAGAACAGCTTTCCCCAGTCTCATGTTTTCCAAATACACTGGACTGCAACTCCTTTCACTCTGAACCAATGAACAGTGCTGCACAGGGGCTGGCTTAGATGGATGCTATATCTGAACAATCGGGGCATCAGGCTGGTGAAGCTTGCTCTATAATTAGCGTTTTGCTCTGACAAGTTTGTGTCAGCTGCTTTTGGACCAGAATCAGGTCCTTCAGTTATTATGAGGAGTGGGTGTAGTCCACCAATCTTGAATGTAGGGTGCAACTTTCTCTAATAGAGATTATGGAGGGTTTCTCCATGCATGTAGGTATCATGTGCTTGAAGACTCTGGAAAATCAGGTGCTTAGTCAGATACAGAGCCTCCATGGATAGAAGAGGCGTTATCACACACCTGTCTCTGCCTCCACTTTTCATTATGACTGAGGGGGCTTAAATTTCAGCAAGAACCTGGCTTTAGAGCTTGTTGAGAAAATATAGAGATGATTATGTAGGCAGCTTTATTTCCTTTATTTCTTAAAAAAAATAGTTTTATCCCACTGTATGCTGATGTCAGAAACATGAGAGTGCATGAATTATTTTTTTTTGCAGTGTACTTATCCAGATTAATTTGACTAATTTCTGCCTGCACCACTTGATGTTTAATTGTATGATTCTTCTCTCCTTAGCTGGCTCAGGTATTTGGACACCAAAACTAGCTTTCCCCAACCTGGTGTCCTACAAATGTGGACATTTGGAATGTACGACCTTGGTGAAGTTGATGTACTCTGAAAGGATATTTCTATCCCAATAGCTCCAGCATATGCTTACAGTGGTAATTATCAAAATATAAAAAGTGAGATACGATCTCCATTTTAGTGGGAAATTTTGGCACAATTTTGCACAAATTAAAGTGATTGTTCCTTTTAAATTAATCTTCAGAACTAAATACAAGACGAAGAATGGAGTTTTGGTATGCCATTTGCAAAGCAAATCTGAGCTGTGACTAGTGCCTTTTATAAGACTGCCCACTGCACAATATTCTTCTCTCTTTCTTTTAAAAAGTGTATTTAACAATGTAATGTTCAGAGCCGAGTTCTGCCTAGGTTGCATATCTGCTGTTTCCTGCTTTGAATGGAATGTTTATAAAATATGTAGAAAAGATCGCACTTAAAATATATGTCCCCAATTGTTCTGCAGGTACCCGTGATACTTCGAGTAGCTTGTGGTGCTCTAGTGTTTGTGTTCAATGCCATAATGTGGACATTCTTTGCTAAAGCTTTAAGATATTCCTCCTCCTCGGCTGCAGTAACTGTGACATCAACAGCATCCAACTTCATCTTTTCAGTGAGTACAGGTAACATCCCAGAGCCCACATGATTGATGAAAGCCCCCAAAAGATGGAGCACCCCCTTTTTTAATGCAGAGTATCACAGTGTCCTTGTGTTGCTGAAACTGTATCACTCTTGAGTTCCGAACGGTCTGCAGGTGGTCCAAAATCAGTTTGTTCCAGATTTGGAAAAATCAATTTTTGTATCAGAACTTTCTGTGATAGAATATTTAGCACACTCACTCAGTACTATAAACACACAAGGAGGTTTTAGCAAGCATGTGGGAGCTGGTAGCTCTGGGTGATTTCTTCTGTCAGTCCCTAGCTGTTTTCCAAACAGCATATTTAAATTGCAAACTGTTGTATAGCCTTTGAATGTTATACACAAAGGCCCTTTCGTCATATGTCCAAAATACTATTGCTTCTGTATATGCAGGTGTTTTAAAAATAGACTTTGTGCATCTTTAGTTGATGGCAGCTGAGGAATTTATATATTGATTAGGCTACAATTTTGCTATTGGTTATTCTTCCCTTTGTCTTGCAGGCCTTTTTTGGAAGGTGGTTGTTTGGAGAAATTCATGCCCTGTTATGGTGGGTTGGAATATCCATTTCCCTCCTGGGACTTCTGTTGCTTCACACTGCACCATCTCTACCAGAACAGCAAATCTCTCTGAAGGAGAAAAAGAAATAGAATGCAACAGGCTTTTAATTCATAACACAGGGAAGGAATAAACAAATAAAGTGGGACTCCAAGTTTGGTGGAAATATAGTATTGTTATGGATGTACTTATAGCAGATTTCTGTGATGCTATTTCTGTGGGGTACTTCGATTCCGAGAATATCTTTCCAGAAAATGTAGTTATCAATTAATGAGGGAGGGTTCAGCTTTCTGAATCTGGAACTATTATCATGCTTACCTATTGTCAAGTATTAAATACTGGAAACCAACAAATGGTGTTAGTTTTCTGGCTTGAACAACTTTGGAATATACATATATAGCACCTTTGGTTAGATGGACAGTATTAGATCAAAATATACTAGAACTCTAGTATCTCTAGAAACAATTGTGTCAGAAAGTTATGGAATGTGATGTCCAATAAATGAAGAGTTCACTCCTTTTCTCATGCTAAATTGACTGTATGGGGAAACCCAACTCTGAAAATTGGGAAAAAGATGGTGATATGGAAAAATTGGATGGAGGTGGGGATATTGACTTTGGACCAACTGATAGATAAGGAAAATGAATGTTTAACATACACTATGTTAAGAGATAAATATCAACTATCAGATGAAGCCCAATGGCAATATTTACAACTACAACATTTGTTAAAAATTTTCTTTGGACCAGCAGCATTTTCAGCTTTGGAGACACCCGAGATGCTAGAATAACTTGTTAAATCCTTTAAAACTAAAAAAAACTATTTTCATAGATATTTGTTATCAATAAATCAATTTGATATGCAGATGCTACGAAATTAGTGGAATAAAGAATTAGAGGTTCCTATATTGCCTAGACAATGGGAAAGTGTTTTAACTTCCATAGCTAGAGCGTCAGTGGACCTTAAATTAAGACTTATACAGCAAAAAATAATATTTAGGATTTATTGGACACCATTATGTTTGAATAGAAAAGATCTAAAACAGCAGTTTGCTGGAGATGTAATAAGAATAATGCTTCTTTAAAACATGTTTTTACAGTGTCCTATACTTACTAAATTCTCGGAGAAAGTACTGGATTACATAAATATGACTCCGACAAAAATTAAAAATTTCAGAAGATAATATTCTTTTGAATTACATACCTATCACATGGAAATTGACAACATAAATGGATTCTCTGTGCCCTTACTATGGCCAAAAGACTGATATTGCTGCATTGGAAGGATAAATGTATGGCCCCCTTCACTCAGTGGATTGAAGACTTGATCGCACTTGCCACCTATGAGTGGATGGTCTATAGATGTAGACTTTGTATGGGCAATATTCCATAATGAAATATGGAACTCATTTATACAAAATACAGTAGGCTAAAGACAAATGATAGTTATATACATGTATTAGAATTTTTTTTAGAACGTATTTACATAATTATTTTTGTGGGGGGGTTGTCTTCCTTGTTTATTATTTTAAAATTAAAAAAATCAATTAAAAAAACAGCTGATGTGGTGTAAGATACCCAAGATTTGTTTAAGTAATGCT